CCGTCTTTCTAAAAGATTTTCTGTTTTGAGTTTATAAAAGGGATAAACTGAGAATTGTCCCTGTCCACAAACAGCAAGATGTTCACTGAGTTTTATTTTTCTGTACTCGGGTTGGTTGATATGTTGTCTATGTATGCGTATACGAGTGCGTAGTGTGGTCCCCGTTTCTCCTATGTATAATTGTCCGCATCCAGTGCATGTTATACAATAAATAACGTTTTTAGATGCACAGGTCATATCTGCATTGATAGTAAATTCTTTATTTCCGAGTGTAAAAGTACTTCCCTCTTTAATATACTGGCAGGTTCCACAACGTGAATCAGAGCATTTATTGACCACATACAAATTCCGTTGGTGAAATGTAGATTTACACAATATTCTTCGGAGGTTTTTAGGTTGTCTTTTACTGTTGATGAATTTATATTTTTCCAGTACTTTGGACATTTTCTCATCCGTCTGTAGAATGTTGTTGAGGTGACGCACTGTAGAGGTTATATTCCTGTTCTTTGGATTGTATGTAGTTACAAGCGGTAATATTGCAGAATCTGATGTGTCACTTTTTGAAGAATTAATAAGTTTATCTCTGTCTATTTCTATAGCCTTTCTGATTCCGTCCTCAATGATTCCAAGAGGATAGCATTGTTCAAGCAGATATTTTTTTAATTCATTCAGACGTTCATCTCTTTTTTTCTTGTCGCTAACAATAGTGCAGATTCTTCTAGCTAAATTGTAAGGGATTGAACGTTTCGTATGACTTGGATGACAGGAACTGAAATGGAGATATTGATGTGTGTCTGTCGGTTTGTAGTATATGTCTGTCGAAATACATTCTCCATGCTTTGCTATAAGGACGTCCAAAAACGGAATGCTTTGTAAACTTTCGTCCATTGTGAAGTTGATGTCAGGATCTAGATCGTTTATAATATTTAGGTAAACTGCTAGATTCGCATCGCTGTCATTCCAAATGATAAAACAATCGTCAAGGTATCTTTTCCAATTGTTCTTTATATTTTCTGAAGTCTGTTGGTCAAAGTACTGAGTAGTTTTTTCATACATCCTCTCCTCTAGATATCCTAGTGTAAGGGTGGCATAAGTAGGGGCCATCTTTGTACCCATTGCCGTTCCTTTCTTTTGTGCATAATGTTTGTCGTTAAAAGAGAAAGTATTATTTTCCAATACTATTTTACTAGCCTCTAAGATGAAGTCTTTGCTGAAACGCTCATTAATTTTTTGTGGATATTTATCAATCCAGTACTCGAGCGCCTTGACACCAAGAGAAGTAGTAATATTAGTGTACAAATTAGTAACATCCATTGTGACTAGCTTGGCATCATGACTAACTTTTTCAGGAAGATGTTTCAGGAAATCTAGATCATCCCGAACATAACTTTTTACTTCTAAACATAAAGGTTTCAGTAATATGTCCATAAGATGACTCAGCCTTTGTGTTGGAGCTTTTGGTCCACCCACGATAGGTCTAAATGTAAGATCCTCTGGATCGCTACATGTAATGTATGCAGAGTTTTGTATTTTGATCGCTTCCTTAATTATTTTAGATTTGTGTATCTTAGGAAGTCCATAAAAGGCACTTTCTCTAAAATCAAAATTAGTCAAAAAGTCCTCTTCTTTGGCTGTTAAAAAGGAAGTTGTATTGTGGTTTTTTATTAAGTTTTTAATTTTTCGCATTGTCTTTTTATCACTGTTCTCTGATATTTCATCGTAAAACTCGCTGTTATTGAGCATTTGTAATATTTTTGTTTTGTAAAATTCTGCGTTCATAACTACTACTGCTCCACCCTTGTCTGCTTCTTTGATTACGATTGAACTGTCGTTTGACAATGATTGAACAGCCTTTTCCTCTTCTTTTCGTAAATTATTTCTTGTGTTATTTTTTTCATTATTTAGAGGTATATTTTGCAGAGTATTACAAACGGTGTCAAGGAGACTGTTCCTTCCTTTCTTTGGATTAAAATTTGATTTGTTCCTAACAAGATCACCTTCAGACGTGTTTTCGTCTTCGTCATCATTATGAAAATACTCTGCTAGTCTTAATTTTCTTGTATATTCCTTGATATCCTTAGATAATTCCTGAAGATTAGAGTCACTTGGTGTTGGTGTAAATTTTAATCCTTTTGACAGTAATTTTATTTCAGCCGCGTTTAATGGCCTACTTGACAGGTTTATCACTTTTGGGTCTATGGTTCCCAATTTTTCCTCTGTCCTTGTAGGTATTGGTATTGCTGAAATCTTTGACCTTGGCTCTGTTTGCCTCCTCCTAAAAAATAATGTGAAGATTTCTTTCCAATGTAAGTTGTACCATTTCTTCTGAATAAGTTTCCAGAAGGATTGAAGAACTTCATAGGTCCCTGTCCAGGATTTCTGTTTCTAAATGATTGTTTTTCTGTTGAATATCTTCCCCGAGATTGGTGGAATTTGTTCTTGTTATACCTCATTGTTGAAGGATTATTTTCTCGATGCTGCATCTTCCATGTTTTTCTCCAATACATAGTATCGGGAATTTGAAACGAACTCCTGTTAATTTGTTGAGTGGTTTCCTTGTTACTAGATATGTTTTTCGGTCTACTGACTGCTTCAGCATAGCTTAATTCCTGTTGTCTTGAGTTAGTTGCTTGTAGTGTTTTCTCTTTGTTATTTTTTGTTGTAGACTCTTTATGAAGTCTTTCCTTAATAACTCCGTTTCCGTATTTTCTTACGTAATCAAGTAGCCAAATTTCCTTGTATCGCCATCTATCAAGTGATTTCTTTTCTTCTTTTTCGCAATCTGATTTCCAAATACTTAGAAGAATTTCTAAGACTCTACCCGTTGCTTTTGTTTTTAATGCTGTATTCATTTGCTCATCAATGTTAATTACATTTTGTTGAGAGATACTTGATCTCATGCGTAGTAATTCTATTTCACCTTTGACTCTCTCTACAGCAACGTTGACTCGAACTTTTGTTTGTTCCTCGGGCTCTCCGCGAATGCTTGTAATTCTATATTTGCGAGGCAAAGTTGGATTTTCTTCATTAAGCCATTTCTCATATTGTTCCGCATCCTTAGAATTATTGATTTGCTTCCAATACAGCTGTTTTCTGGTATTTAGTTTTCTACTCCATTCTTTTTTCATTGTTTGTTTAATTTTGTGAGCTTCTTTTTGTAAAGCAAGTTCATTGATTTCTCGTTGAATTATCTCACTTGGAGATTGATACACCACTTGATCATCATTTACGCTGGATGTAAAAACTGATTTTACATACGTTTCCTCATTTACAGAATGGTTAGAGCCTTTGTCACCTACCTTGATTAAGTTTTTAAACATTTCAATGGATGCGTCCATTTTCTCCTCAATGAAATTTAACCTAGCAAGAATCTCACTCAATAAATCGTTTGTTTCCTCATGGTGATTTTCCATATATGTCGCCATCTCGGTCACTGGTTAGAATATATCCAAAAAATGAAAAGAAATATCACAGTGTCCGGTAATTAATATGAAAATTAAAAATAACAAGGCAACAATGTTAGTAAAACGTAAGCGCTTTCATTATACTTCTTCAGACGTTTTACAATTCAAAACAATTCAAACATGTGACGTTATAACGCTACCTGATGATAACGTCAACAACAATGCAATGACGTCACAATGCTTATAGAGGAAACAATTATAGAGTCTAAGTAAAATTACTTTGTTCATTAATAGCGTAATAAATAATAAAGTCATGAAACAGTCTATATTAAACTATTTAAGGACGGTTTAAAAATCTTGATGAAATCCTGACATCAACTTCACAATGGACGAAAGTTTACAAAGCATTCCGTTTTTGGACGTCCTTATAGCAAAGCATGGAGAATGTATTTCGACAGACATATACTACAAACCGACAGACACACATCAATATCTCCATTTCAGTTCCTGTCATCCAAGTCATACGAAACGTTCAATCCCTTACAATTTAGCTAGAAGAATCTGCACTATTGTTAGCGACAAGAAAAAAAGAGATGAACGTCTGAATGAATTAAAAAAATATCTGCTTGAACAATGCTATCCTCTTGGAATCATTGAGGACGGAATCAGAAAGGCTATAGAAATAGACAGAGATAAACTTATTAATTCTTCAAAAAGTGACACATCAGATTCTGCAATATTACCGCTTGTAACTACATACAATCCAAAGAACAGGAATATAACCTCTACAGTGCGTCACCTCAACAACATTCTACAGACGGATGAGAAAATGTCCAAAGTACTGGAAAAATATAAATTCATCAACAGTAAAAGACAACCTAAAAACCTCCGAAGAATATTGTGTAAATCTACATTTCACCAACGGAATTTGTATGTGGTCAATAAATGCTCTGATTCACGTTGTGGAACCTGCCAGTATATTAAAGAGGGAAGTACTTTTACACTCGGAAATAAAGAATTTACTATCAATGCAGATATGACCTGTGCATCTAAAAACGTTATTTATTGTATAACATGCACTGGATGCGGACAATTATACATAGGAGAAACGGGGACCACACTACGCACTCGTATACGCATACATAGACAACATATCAACCAACCCGAGTACAGAAAAATAAAACTCAGTGAACATCTTGCTGTTTGTGGACAGGGACAATTCTCAGTTTATCCCTTTTATAAACTCAAAACAGAAAATCTTTTAGAAAGACGGGAAAAAGAAAAACATTTCATCAAGATTTTTAAACCGTCCTTAAATAGTTTAATATAGACTGTTTCATGACTTTATTATTTATTACGCTATTAATGAACAAAGTAATTTTACTTAGACTCTATAATTGTTTCCTCTATAAGCATTGTGACGTCATTGCATTGTTGTTGACGTTATCATCAGGTAGCGTTATAACGTCACATGTTTGAATTGTTTTGAATTGTAAAACGTCTGAAGAAGTATAATGAAAGCGCTTACGTTTTACTAACATTGTTGCCTTGTTATTTTTAATTTTCATATATATATATATATATATATCAGCCCCATCATCTCAATCTGAGAAATAGCTATAAAGATAAATATTAATGGCAAGCAAAGCTTTGAAAATCTATATATAAAATCCTCACAACTATATACTTATGTATAGAAGCTGAATTTGCCAGCTAAGAAAAATAATTATCTTATGATGCAAAATCTAGTTGTCACTGATTAATTAATATTTTCTGACACCAGATACTGTAACATCTCAATGAAATTTTCAACAATTTAGCAATAAATATAAATTTGCAAAATTTATAACTAAGCAGATATGCTTAAAAAGTCACATGGAAATCACAAAAAACATAACTAATCAAAGGTTACAAAGCTCATATCAACAAATTTCATCTATAGTCTCACACCTATCAAATGTTCTGGTAATGTGCATCCTTAGAAACAACATCTATGTACAAGTTTGATCCAGGTAGAATCTATAGATACTTGAAAATGGACCTGCTTCAAAAACTTAAAATATTCAATCACCCTGTAAATGTAGGTCAGATCCATCATCCAAAGCATGTTTTGTAGTGTGCATACCTAGTAGCATACATCATCAATACAAGTTCAGCCACCATAGGGCTTATAATGGGACAGCTCTAAAACATTAACCAGTTCATTCACCTGGAAAATCTAGGTCAGTCCCAGCATCCAAGTAGGTAGTGTGCATCTCTAGGTGCATAATCTATGTAAAATTAATCACCATAGTTCTTAAAGGTACTTGGGAATGAACCCATTTTAATAAATGTAGGTCTGATCCACCATGTAGAAGCAAGTGTAGTAGTGTGCATCTCTAGATGCATCATCAATGCAAGTTTAGTCACAGGGCTTATAATCATTTAAGGATGAACCTGCTTCGAAATCTTTAACCTGTTCACTCATCCAGAAAATGTAGGTCAGGTCCAGCATCCACAGCCAATCTGCTCCAAAAACTTTAATCTATTCCCTCAAATGTAGGTCAGACCCAACATCCAAAGCAAGTCTTGTAATGTGTGTGCTTTGCATCATCCATGCAAGTTTAATCACAATAGGGATTATAATAGCTATTTTGGAATGAAACCTGCTATTAAAACTTTAACTTGCAGAAAACTTTAACATGGTCTCTTATCCAGGATATGTAGGTCAGATTCTGCATTTGAAGCATTTCTGGTAGTGTATATGCCATGATGCATGATCCCTGCAAGTTTGGTCCAGGTAGGACTTATAGTTACTTGGGAATGGACCTGCTCCTCAAACCTTAATTGGGATGCATGCTGACACTGATGCCAATGCTGGGAGTAAGAGCATAAGCTCATCTCAACTTAATCAAGGTGAGCTAATTATCCCCAGAAATATATCCATGTATACAGCTCTTTTTCCTGGTGGAAACCAGTTAATCTCTATTGATATAATTTTCTGGCTAATTCTATCCAGAGGCCACAAATAATTTTCTGGCCACTGCAAAATGATTTTTGGCAGACTAGCAGATTAAATAATTTTCTACTCTTACACCAAAGTACTACTCTTAATTTTTTCCATTAAATTGCCCTGCTTTAAAATTCTTGCGTGTAAAAGGTCAACCTTAATTACATGTTGCGGATTGCCTTTTTTAGAAGATTATGGAGTCTCCAGTAGAGGTCATCGGAAGCAGGTTCCCGGACGATGGTCCCCTTGGAATTCCCAGGGTAGGCACACTCCTCTAACAGGGGAAGTAACTCTTCTTTATACTCTTGAGGAGGATTATGAAGGAGTCCTGCGTAAAAATTGGTTGCTCTGTCTATGAGGATATCTTCACATACCGTCTGTAAAAGTGATTGGAAGTAAATAAGCCAATGAGTATGTTTAAATGATAAGGAAAATGTGTATGTTTTATTCAGTTACATCCAATACTATCTCAGTAAACTTGTTCTTTAAACCTAAAAGGGTTTCATTAGCTGAATGCATGTAAATTACTAAAATTGGTAAATATCCATCAACTTCTTTTCTATCCAATACAATCCAATTAACTTGTTATTGAATGAAGATATAAATAATGATCTGAAAAGCAAATTAAATCTAAACAGCTGATAATTTATAAGATGTGAAGAAAAACAAAAGCAAGACTTTCCTATTCTGTTTTACCTGTAAATTATTATTAGTTCTCTGCTTAGTACATTTTCCTGTCTCCAAATCACACCAGCCACGGCAGTCAAAAAAATCACAATCATTATGACTTGTACAAGATGGCTGTGCTAAATTTTTCAACATGGAAGTATGAAAAAATAACGAGTCTGAATCCAGAATTTTTACTCCATGGTCCCGACCAATTCCAAAGTTCTCTGCTTTGACATCACACATATGCACTGGTTCAAAAAAACCATAGTCCAAAGATTGTACAATATCTAAAATGTCAACAGCTATTTTAGCACGTTCTTTAAAAGATGAATGGCTACTTGTAAAGAATGCAGGATCTAGAATATCCCCTGGTGGAGCATATTCCATCACATAGTAAAACCCACAGGTTCCATAAATTCTGGGAACAAATGAATGTTTTTGATACACTTTCATGAAGAGGTATTCATCTTGATTAATTAATCCCCAGATATTCTGTAATGCAGTCACTTCTGGAGATTTTAAGTTCCTGTTATCACTCTTAAACTGCTTGAAATCTATGGACCACAGATATGAGAAAATATCTGGGATTTTGTCATTTTCCTCTAGCATCTGAGAATTAAGCAAATTGTTAAACAACTCGTATGCTGTAGAATATCCTGTTTTAGTGAGGGATCCATTTTTATGTGTGTCTAACACCAGAGGTTCAAAATGAAACTCCTCCTTTGGGTGTTTAGATTTAATCACAGCCACTACATTCCTCCCCTCCTCACAAACTCCATCACAGTTTGCTATCAGAACTTTCTTTCCACCTCTGTAGTTTGTACACTTGTTGTATTTCAACTTCTTAGAGTCACACAAAGCTGGACACAGATTTCCTGCAGCAACATGGTTAACAAAATCTTGGCACTAGGAAAAGAATAAAACATAATTTACATCTTGATATCTATTTTTTTTTTTACCGGTGTTACTTGTTTTTACATGTACATGTAGCTTTTTTTCTTTTTTAAGCATTGGATGACTACAGTACTTTTTTGCATTTTATTATGCCACGAACAAAGAGCCCAAAGGCCATGATTATCACCTTGGTATCACTGACTCAGCCCCATCCACCTGGCTTGGATAAGAACTCAGGACCCACTTGACATGAACTTTACAATTTTGTAGATAACTCTTTGTTCATCATTAACAGAATATTGCAGAAAATTTGTTCACAAGATATTAGGCATACAAATGGTTTTTCAAGACAGAGCAAATAATGGTTACAGTGAAAATGCTTATAATGAATTCACGCTTACGACAAAGTGATTTTTTTCATTTCCTGTAATTTTAAATGTGTTATGAACTTATTATAGGACAAATTATAAAAATTTTATGGACTCTAGCACTTTCCTATAAGCATGTCATACTGTCTATTGCATTTTCAATAATAGATAATCAACTTAGCTCCTTCCTAGGGTCTGAACTATGTAAACTCATATCTAACAATTTTGTTAGGGAATATAAGGGAGGAGCTTTATTAAAACTCTTGAAAAGGATTTAAAAAACAAGAGACCCAAGGGCTTATAATTGCTCTTCTGATAAATTGCATAGCAGTGTCACAGCAACCTACTTCTGATTTGGCAAATTAATGGGTTTCGATTCTATGGCACCTTGATGCATCAACTGACAAGGTTTGATTCTAAGCCTCTTAGTATGTGAAATGTTAAGCTAAAATGTTTTATAAATGAAAAGTTGTAAAATTCAGGAAGTAGGTCATTGTGACTTTGTTTAACAACTATAAGGCCTCAGGGTGAACTATCAGTTAAAAAGTTTGATGATCCTAGGACTCTTAGTATCAAAGATATACTATTGACAATGAAAAAGTAAGCCATGTTGACCTGCTTTAATTTACATCAACATATCCTGAGATAATGAGATGCGTCAACTTTGAATGTTTAATGATCCTAGGCCTCTTAGCATCAAAGATATAAAGATTGGACAATGAATAAAGATAAAATGCTAAAAGTAGGTCAATGTGACATACTTTTGGGTCAAAATATCTTGAGGTCCTAAAATGCATTAACTCACAAGGTTTAATAATCCTTGGCTCCATAGTATCAAATTTATAAAGATTGGATAATGATGAATGATAAACGTAGAAGTAGGTCACAGTGACCTTCTTTTTGATTAACATATCCTGAGATCTTCAGATGCATCAATTGACAAGGTTTGATGATCCTAGTCTTCTAAGCATTAAAAGATTTGACAATAAATGACATCGAAATGCAAAAAGGTAGGTCACTATGACCTACTTTTAAAAAGACACATCTCCTGCCTGTAGATTTATCAACTATTAAGGTTTGTTGACCCTGCAACTCATAGTGCTTTTAATGATGGCCCAAAGGAAAATTTCAATCGCCCATTATGGCCCCATCTTACCCCGGGGATCATGATTTGAATAAATTTGAATCAAGACTACCTGAGGATGCTTCCAAATATTAAATAATAATGATCCAATTATGGCTTCGCTATTCTTGAGAACAAGATTTTTAAAGATTTTTCCTATGTATTACAATGTAAAATTTTGATTGCTCCTTGTGGCCCCACCCTCCCCCTGGGGGTCATGATCTTAACAAATTTGAATCTTCACAACTCTGAGGATGTTTTCAAATAGTTTCATCTTTCCTAGCCCAGTGGTTCTTGAGAAGAAGATTAATAAATGATGCCATAAATTTTTCACTAATTCATTATTACCTCCCCTTGAAAGAAGGCATGGCTCTTCATTTTCAAAAACTTGAATTCCCTTTACCCAAGAATACTTTATAGAAAGTTTGGCTGAAATTGGCCCAGTGATTCTTGAAAAGAATATGAAATTGTAAAATGTAGAATACAAGCTAGTGTTTGTGGTAATGGATGCTCACTTGAGCCTTTGGCTCAGGTGAGCTATACACACACACACATACACACACACGATTGTTGCCTCCCTTTCCCTTCCAACCTGCAACCAAAGATAGTTTCATACAATAATTGTCTAACCACTAACCAGATCATCCATCAGGAACCTTGATTCTTCCTCGGAACATTTCCGATCTCGGATGGTTTTCCTGAGTATATTTCCTCCATAAAGCAGAATAAGGATAATGAAGAAAAATGTGACATGTTTCAGCTTTCTCACCAAGTACAATCGAGGCATCCTCTCTCATGTTCCCTGGTCAATTTATATATAAGAAGGTTTAATGTCATGCAAAAATTAGGAAAAATAATGGTGCCCAAAGGGAATTTCATGGTAGCTAATGAAGATTCTGCAGAGGGAACTCTGCAGATTATGAGATTCACGGGCAGTCACTTAGCAAATCCTGCATCAACATCAGCATATAAAAGCCCCTGAAACTGCAGAGCAACTTGACAGTACCTTTAGAAGACTTCTTTGAATTTACGCAGCTATACAGGGTAATAAAGTTTCTGAATTTTAAAATATAAAATTAGCATATTAGAACATGACTACAATAATGATAGAGATTTTAAGAAAGAAAATCATATATTATAATGAGAGTAAAAGAAAGAATAGAGGATCTGAGAATCCATGTATTTCATTCATTCTAGATTACACATGTTATTTTAAAGGATGTAAGTTTTGATTACTTTCAATTATTTCAATTTCAGACCTTTAAATCCAGGACACAGCTCTCTTGCTCCCTACTAGTGAGAAAAATCCATTCATTCATCAATTAAAAGCTGGATACTCAGACTGTCTGCAGAACCTTATTAATTTTTTTAATTGCCAAGTTAAACTATGATATTTGCCATGAATATTATTCAAATTACACTCTTATGGGCATGCATACTATACAGTGAAGAACATAATTTTTTTATAATCGTTGGGCTGAGGTGTCTGACATTCAAAATTTTTGGGGGAGAAAACGCGCGACGACCTTTTGTAAATAAAATATCGCACATTTCACTGTATTATAAAACAAAAATAAACAACATACAATTAAAATCATTTTTGAAATTATATAAAAAAAGAATGTCAGACACCTCGGCCCATTGACATCTCGGCCCAATGACACCTCGGCCTTGACTGGTCTGGTCTCGGTCCATACATAAGACACCTCGGCCCAAGCAAACTTTTATAGAAAGTATTACATATTTCCAATCTGCGATGTCAATAAAATTTTGACCAAAAAAAGTAAACAATCAAGATTATTTTTACTACTAAAAAGACCTTCCACGAGCTACATGATTGACGATCATCAAGGAATAAAAAGACAATAATAATTTGAAAAGTGCTAACAGATAAACAAACAAGATGCCGCGGCGCATCCTTTGGGAGTCTCCAGTGCGTGTCATATTGGTGTCATTAAGGGAATAATTACGAGCAGGCTTAATCTGTTAATTGTGAGACAGTCATTCAGAACATTTACATCCATTTATTTCTTAAGAATTTCACTTACATTAAAAACTAGTTTGAGCACTGATTTTTTTTTTTTAATTTTATTTTAAGCTATCTTTATCAAACTATGATTTTAAATCATTGAACATGATGAAATGAAACATACGATGAAGTTCAGATCAATAATGCAATTATTTTACGTACTTAAACTATTATTTTATACGATTATTTATACTGACATAAGTTGAAACAATAAAATGTCCTTCCTTTTTTTTGTTTTTTTTTTTGTTTTTTGTTAATGCAAGATTAATGACCGCAACCATATAGCAGAAATTCTCGCATTTACAAAAAAGTTACGGTTTAAATGATGTCCATATATATCTTTTCACGAATTATCAACCCATCTCAGATGTTTCAGATCGTCAGAGAAGTAATGCAAAATGAAACGATAAAATTCCGGCAATTCTTATAGAAAGTCAAGATCATAAGAATGTTGATATATATCATAGTTTCACTTAAGTGTATATATTGGGGATTTTCCACAAGAGATAGATCTATGTTAGTTAACGTGCTGATCTGATTTGCTTAGGGAAGTGAACCAATTTTCTATTATAGAACCCCCCCCCCCCTTGACTTTTATTTTAAAAAATCATTTAACCGTCAAAAAGAATAATTACATCGATAATAATAACAATTCAGACAATGGATTAATTTTTTGAACCAGACTTGTCGAAATTTTGAAATCACTGTCAGACATTTGGTCTGACAAAGTCAAATGTTCTGTCGGACCGGACAAAGTTTTGTCAGACCAGATACATGTACCTTATTTTGACGCTGAGAAAGGAAAATAAATAACAGCACCAAAAATGCCCTTTAATATTTTCAACAGCCTTCAATCTCCTAAGTTTCTTTTCTTATGATAGAGAGTCTTTAATAAGAGACATAAATAACATTTTTATGTCTTTCCTGTAACAATTTAAATTGACCATCGTCACTACGCCGCACACACCGTCACACGGCCATCTCTTCTGTGTTTATGACCATCAGTTGCGCATCCCGATCCCGACCTTTTTTAAATTTGCGTCACGCTCGATTTTTTCAAACGGTCATTTGGACCGACGTTTTCTTAAAAGTTATCAGTCCAGACAAATTTTTACCGGCCTTGCCGACAGGACCGAAGGATTTCGACAAGTCTGTTTTTCCATCATAAAATTTCGCTTGGGCCGAGGTGTCTTTTATATGGGCCGACATGTCAATAATCTTGGGCCGACCTGTCAGGGCCGAGGTGTCAGACGTCACGGGCCGAGGTGTCGTTGGCCTGAGATGTCTGTCTACCAAAATTTTGGCCATGTTGACAGGTATGCTTTGGATACAATAAAAACATTTCCTATAGCACACATGCAAAAAAAACAAAACAAACAAACAAACAAAGAACATAGCAAACTGCCAAAATCCACACGTACATTAAAATATGACACCTTTAATTACAGGTTACAGGTACATTGGCACGAACCCACTCAGAGCGAACATGTAATCGGGGCGAACCCATCCGTTACCACTTCTGCCTGACAGCCCAAATTAAAGGGAACCTTTAACTGGATTATTCAATATCATATGTCATATCAACAATGAAAAGCAAATAAATAAAACTGGAAAACTTACTACTTGTGAACGTGTATTAGTTTTGCTTCCTTGTAAGTCAACCAGGAATTGCCATTTGCCACATAAAAACAAAATCTTTACAAACATGCAATTTCCGAATAAAGAAATAAGTTTTTATAAATTATATTACAAATAATATTTTTAATTCATTTTATATCAAAACACAAATTATATATCAAATAAGAATTAAATATACTCAGAAAAAATACAAACATTTCGATATGTCTGAGCGGGGACTTTTTACTTAGTGATTCGGGATCGTGCTTCACATCGAGTGACAGAAACTCGAGAGAAGACATGTAACTGTCATTATCCTTCGATTTAGGATAGTTAGATACAATTTATGATATTATCATTTAGCAACTGTTTAGGAATGACCACTGTATCGCTGTTGTAAGTATTTAAACGGTTAAGGAACATTATGTCATAGATGTTTTGCTTTGTCTGAGGAAATTCGGAATTTATCCACTGTACAATTATATGGAATGAGACACTCTAGAGTTTCCATGGCTGTTGTGCATTAGCTTTAAATCTTCCCCGAAAATACAGTTTCATTATAACCCTAGTAAATAAGCATTTAATTTCATATTGGTCTTCATTTTATTTTAACTGTATAATAGATTAACAGATAAATATTTTTTTTTCTCTCTTGCTTATTCAACTTTCAAGTGATACCAGGGAACTATATACAAACGGGATAGGCAACTCTCGCGATATCTCGTAAGTTGCGGGATTTCTTAAGTCACTTTTAATTAAATATATCTCTTTTGCTATCACATATTTCAGAAGAAGACTTTAATTTATCTATCAAAAAATCATTCAAGATTTGTAATTAGCACTGTTTTTACTCCTTATTTTAGAAGTAATTACGTTTATTCAAAAATCAGTGCGTGCCCCTGATCGGCCGTATTTCAGAGAAATCGCCAATTTTGGTGGTTGTTTACTTTATATCTAAATTATTTTAAAATATTTGCTTTAAAATTTATTAAATATCCATTCTGATACACAAAAAGAACAGATTACATTAATCAGAAAACAAGCTTTTTACAGGGAAAAAATGTAGTTTGAAAAACTTGCAATGTTGTGTGTGCCGTTTTGGGTAAATAAACATGGCGCTGAAGGAGTTGCCTACTGTTAGTATAAAGGTCCCTGGTGATACATACTGAATCAAACGTATTTTACGTGATGAAAAGAAATTAATTGATGAATTCAAAATCCACTTATCATTGATTTAAATTGCTTCAGTAAGATTTCGTACATGTACCATAATTTTGACAATGATGATTGCATATATTCTTGAATTTGGGTTAAAATATGTATAGTTAGTCTTGAGGAATGATATTTGCAACAGGATTAAATTACTCTAACTAGTTAGAATAATCTGTGTCTCGGGACAAGCCCTCACCACAGTTAGAATGCGTCCCATATACTTGCAATGTAGCAAATCGGAGCAGTCCCCCCGCTCCGAAATGATTTTGAAGTATACAAAAGGAGTCGCACTGAAAATAACTACCAAATTAATCATAACAAACCTTTTTGAGATTGTATACAAGGGGTGATCAAAAAGTTCGCGAACTATCTATATTTACAAAACTACAATTCAGATCAGAATGAAATTTGGCACACATATAGTCATACGCATGTTCTATAAATAGCAGGTGTCATATAATGTTTTGCTCAGTGTTTGTGACGTCACAATGTGAAAATGACGTCAATATGTAGGTGAGTTGTGACAAAAAATGGTTGACTCGGTCGTACTCAAGCAACTAACGGCTGTAAAGTTTAACGTATATCTTGGGAATTCCTTTGCAGTAGAATATGATAATTTGTACAAGGTTTATGAAGACAAAAGACTTACCAGAAGTTCAATCATTAATTGGATTGATTGTTTTAGTGAAGGCTGGAGGATGGTTAAAAATGATGTTTGTTCTATTGCCCAGCGAAAGCAAGCCAGGGAAAAGATGTGTCCTTAGTTGAGCAATTTGTTATGAAAGATCGCCAAGTTACAATTAGAAAAATAGTTGAAAGTCTTAACAATAATATAATTATTAAATCCCTAAAATATCGTTTACTTCAGACTTTAAACATATGAGATATGATAAAAAGAGTTTGTCCATACTTTATCCACATTGGATAAACGACATTCCCGAGACAGAGGACTCGGGTTTTGATGATCCCCATGCTAATTCTGGGAAGGGGTGTCCTTATCCGCCCATCCTATTGCCTAGATTTGCCCATTTCTGACAGATGGACTGTTCTTGTTATAAAAAATAACTTGCATGGTAAGAAATATAAGACTCGGAAAAATCTTTTTGCTTCTGTGAACAGTACGCTACGGAGCACATCACGTGACCGCCTGGATCACATGATTCGCGCATGGGCAGAACAATGGCAGATATGCATTATAATCGGAGAGGACTACTTCAAAAAATAATGAGCACTGAAACCTCATTTTATTTCTTTTAAGGAAGTAATTCAATTAGTTCGCGAACTTTTTGATCACCCCTCGTGTGCCTTTTAACCTAAAAAATAATCCATATAAAGACAAAAATTCAACTCATTTTCTCAACGTTTTTTCTCGCTTCAAATTTATACACCATGTTGACATTTGGAACTCTCTGGATTGATCATAGTAAATGCACTGAGTTCGAGTTATCGCCTGTGTTTATTTTGCTACATTGCCATTTCACGGAACGAATTCTATCGTTAAACTGGGTCCGTAGGACAATATCATTTTAACGATACAACTTTCTATCCATACCCTAACATCTCAGGTAGTTCTTTGATGCTAGAGGTAATGCATCCTCTCCAGCCACAGGTTTTGTGTCAATTCTAATTCCACTAAGAATGGACACAGAACCTGTGATGAAGGTATTAAATAATAAGTACTACCAAACTAGAATATTCTGGGCAATTGCAGTCATTATTATGTAAACAAGTATGAAATATTTACATGTACCGGTATGTATATGTGCATTTGCTTTAAATATTTTGATATGTGGCGGTTAGACGGTTTTGATTGCTGGTGGCTAGATAGCTCAGTTGGTAGAGCACCTGACTGGAGATTCAAGGGGCCCCGGTTTGAATCCCGGTCTGGTCCATCGCATTTTCTCCTCTCCTGTAATATTAAGTGTCGTGCCATTCCCTGGAAATGACAGGTGAAAGACTTTCCAGGAAAAAGCCTGGGTTGTTGTCTTTAAGGGTCGAGGACCTAAAAGGAGGGAGGAATGTGGCGGTCAGATGGGTTCGATCGCCGGTGGCCAGATAGCTCAGTTGGTAGAGCACCTGACTGGAGATTCAGAGGGCCTGGGTTCGAATCCCGCTCTGTTCCATCCCATTTTTCTCCTCTCCTGTTACATTTTGTGCTGTGTCATTCCCAGGAAGTGACAGGTGAAAGACCTGCCAGGGAACAGTCTGGGTTGGTGTCTTCAGGGGCAAAATCTTTAAGGAGGGAGGAATGTGGTGGTCGGATGGGTTTGATTGCTGGTGTTCAGAAAGGTCAGTTGGTAGAGCACCTGACTGGACATTCAGGGGGTCAGGGTTTGAATCCGGGTTTGGCCTGTCACATTCTCTCCTCTCCTGTTACAGATATATAATTAATAAATCAATACTTTATGTTACTTAACTTGTCCTATTGAAATTTTGATCAATATAACTGCCCTTATATGTATATGTAAAATAACACCACCTATGACAAGACACCAGTGCTAAAGCTGTTATCTTTTCTTTTCAGACACTCAAGTAAAAAATCACAATGGATAAGTTCATATGTGGTATATGTTCAGAGGAGTTGAACAATATCTTGTCTTTCCTACAGCACAAAGTCAATCGTAAGTTTCAAATGCAATAATAAACAGCAAAGAGACAAAGAAATTCATCTGTTTGTACCTCATAAGGAGTTGAATTACATGTAACTTATGTATGAACCAAAGTAGACAGACACTATGGTACCCGTACTTAACCATTCCAAACAAATGAACACATGCAAAGACAGAGATGCCATGATAGTCATTAACAAAAGAATTTTTTAAGCTCTGCTAATAATGATATTTCATGATACTTTGGAAATGCAGAGAGATGCATCTGTATATATTTTTGTCCATGGCCGCTTTTCTTAAAATGGAATCAGTAAATAAAGATAAATAGCATTCTTAATACATATCATTCACCTCCACTCTATGTTTGATAAAACCTTGAGGAGTTCATCATATATTGACTACATGTAGTTTGTACTTGAGAAAAAAAAGTCTGAACTAAAAGCTATACAAAGAATGTGTACCTGTACTTATTTGAGTTAGTAATGTTGGTCTAATTATTTCTAGATGTAGGTCCTGGCAGCGCTGTTGGATGCAACTTGTGTCAGTTATCCTACACAAGACAAAACACACTGAAGGAACACTATAGGAGAAAACACAGAGTCAACATCCAAGCAACGACAAGTCAACTTAAAGGAAATCGACAGAGTGATCAAGTCTTACCTACTGAGGCACCGAGAGACAAGGTCAGTAAAAAAGCAAACAATGATATAAAGTCAGTGACAGGGGCTAACGTTGAGGAGGCATCTCAGGTTGTTGATGAAGATGAAAACCAGGCAAAAGTTGTGTCAACTGATATTCTTTTGAATGATATTGATGGTGAAATTGACAGTACTTCTAATGGAAATGTGAGAAACATTTATATTCATGTGGAACCTTTAATCCAAGGGGACACAAAGAGTCATAGTTGTGTTGGACTTTCCAAAACTGAAAATCAGGTCAATAATGAAGATACTGTGAAACAACTGAGAATAACGGAAGCATCAGTATCAGAATATCTTAATGCCACAGACTTAGGAAGTGAAGACTTACAAAACAAGGACATATCTGGTCTGTCACAGGGTGTAGAAACCTTTGATGGGTTTTCTGGTGTTGATGGGGGAACGTCTTTCGCTACTTCATCCAATGAAGAGCAGATTTCAAGAAAACATAAAAGTGATGACTCTGCAATGGATACAGACTTGTCTTCTGATGAGTCTGAACAATTTAAGGAAAATTCTATTCCAACAAGCAGAGAGGCATCCAAAGACAGTGTAGAAGGGAACAAATCAACATCAGATTTCAAGGAAACACAGGAAGGGGATTACTTTTTTATTTTGTTTATGGAGGAAAAAGAAAGTCAATCAATGGGATATGGGAAGATGTTGTTGAAATGTTTACACTGTAATTATACCACAGATTTCAAAGCCTCTCTTTCGCGGCATATGAAAAAAGAACACCCAGATATGATTAATTTGCATAGCAAAATAAAAATTGTCATGCATGGAAATGATTCAAACCTCAAAGATCAGAAAGTGATGAAGATGTCTGAATACAATGCAATGCAGGCAAGTGAACGAAGAAAGAAAAATGGAAAGAAAATTCGAGGAGTGGAGACTCAGGACATGGTGGGGAATTTTACCTGTGGAGTTTGTTCCAAGGTATTCAATAGACTGAGGTACCTCAGAAAGCATGTGCTCACTCATGAAAACAACCAGCAGTTCCTCTGTGATGAATGCGGTAAAGCTTTCAAGACTAAGACTTACTTGGCAGCTCATCGCAAAACTCACAAGAAAGAGGCATACCAGTGCAGGCAGTGTGATTTTGTGTCAAGCCTCGCTTTGGCTATACATACTCATCGCCAGATTCACACGGAAGGAAGTGTTATATGTGATATTTGTGGAACAGCATATTCTGACAAGTCCACATTGCTGAAGCATAAACAAGTTCATGACATGTCAAGGCCATATGCTTGCACTTTTCCTGGATGTACTTTCAGATTTAAGACGGAAATGAGATGTAATGCTCATATAAAGAATCACAGTAATGCTCAAGGCCAATTTAAGTGCCATAAGTGTAATTATGTTTTTCGATATAAACATCACTTAAAGAGACATGAAGCCAAAAAACATGGTCTTATTACAGCCTGTGAAAAATCTAAAGAAGAAGATAAAGAGGATTCACTAAAATCCCTGGTGATAGAAGAAATTCATGAGATAGACTCTGTTAATTTGATAATTGACCCTGAAATTAACAGAGACCAATTTAATTTACAATCTGCCTTACAAAATAATTCCCTTGTCATAGCAACAGATGAGGAAGGTAATGCTGTGAACTATGAGGTGACTGATATAGCCCTGAATGTCCAGTACCACACCCTCATGTCTGGGACAGAACTGACCTGTCAGCCAGATGGACATTCCATGCTGATCCCCCAGAACGAGTGTAATCAGGTGATTGTGACAGATTCTATAGACCCCCCACCTGACACAGAGACAGTAGTCTGTAGCTCTACTGCTGCAGAATGACACTATCTTATAATAAAAACTGTCAGAATCTCTTACTGTGTACATTGTGTTGGTACTCCCTGGTAATTAAGATTTAGCTCTACTGGTGAAAGACCAGCAGAAAAGCTTAGGTAAGGTGTTCCTTGTCTGTTTGTAGTTGACACACTACTTATCCTTTAGTTTTGGTCCAATTTCAATAGAAATACACATATAGACTACACCAAGATTATACATGTATATGTAAGTAATTAATTCTATAATATTGATTTTTGATTTGGATAATTGGTGTTGCAGTGGTCACTAAACATAGAAATTCGGGTTAAATTCCTCCAAAACACTACTCTTCACAGTTTTGTTTTGAATCCAATAAAACTTGGAACACAGGTATACATAACCAACGTACACAATAAGTATCAGTTTTGAATTTGAGAAGCAATGTTGCAGTGGTTTCTGTAGTAATATGTGAAACTCAAGGTTCTTCTTTTGTTGCCCTTTATTATAAACCAGTAGAGCTACATCACATCAGAGTCATCATTAGAGAGACATGTAATTTACTTGCTTAAGGGGATAATACATTTTGCTATTTAGAACTCCATAAAGATTTGTATGAACAGAAGGTATTGCTGAACATGCCAACAGGGTTATTTTACACTTGAATACATGTATTTAATTTAAACTCTACAGTTTCTAGCAATACCATACTAGGGCAAGGACATTCCTCTAGCAAATGTATTAATAATTTGTCTAATTTAGTATTTATCTTTTATATAAACAGACTTCTTTCACAATGTCCGTCTCATCTCTCTGCATGGTAACCCTTTAAAGATATTGGAGGGTGAAATATTTTTTCCAGAGTTCACAGCAGTATTTTTATAAATAAATTGTAAATGTAATGAAATTGAAATTGCACAGTCAAATATAATGTTGAAGAATAATAAATCATAAATAAAACAGTATAAAATACATGTGTATTTAGAATGCATATGTAAACAAATAATTTTTTTTTATTGTGTTACACATGATATAACGGTTCCAGCATTGCAGTAACCTGCTAACAAGGCGCGGAAATGTCATTTTCTGCAGTAATGAGTGCCGGAAGCTCAAAGTTAATGAGAAAGCTAGAAGGTACATAATTTTTGCAGATTTGAACATATGTCTGAGGCTCTTTCTCAAGATTTAAGATGCATTCATATCACTTTCAAGTTACAAAACCAAGATTTTTTTCGTTTTTTTAACGAAAGGGTACAAGGCCATCGGGACAGAGGCGTTAGGTGCGATCACACCCCCTTTTTGAAAAGAACACTCGAATATAACATTGTAACCAGTTATTTAAAAAATAAATTGATCGAGAGTGGGTACCCCTCCCATGCATGTAACTCGCACTTCTTCATGATAGAATGACTAATAAATATCAACATGGCGCAGAGCTCCCCTTCCTTTAGTTACAGTGGCCGTGGGTGTAAACCCCTCTCGATTTTGCCGTCTCCCTTGTCCATCGCTAACCATTCGTGGCACGGGAAGTGCCAGGACATATTCTCCTGTGGACAAGCGATCTCCACTTTTTCCAAAAACCAGTCTGCATTTTCTACCCCGGCCTCCAAATTATCATGACCAATACTGTACAAATTAATGGACACGTTGTAATAAGACGTAGTTATGTAAAGTTTGTAAATTATCATTATCTTTGTCAGTTAATGTTGCTTTACTTACGTTATCTTTGAGAGTTTTCCTATTCTGTCGTTTGATTCGATAATGAACTCATCTGTTTTCCCTAGCTGGAAGTTCTGATCGTCCCGCGAATCACTAGCCATGTTTCTTAGTTGTATACGACCTGGAATTGATGTAAGAATCGAACATGATAAATGTAAATGCTTTTAAAAATCAATGAATTATTTCTAGCAGTACCTCCAACTTACAGGGAGTATACTATTATAATTATATGTAGTATTTATTGATAATATTTATCGAAAACAATAGAATGGATTATACCCAGGTATCTGAAATTTAAAAAAAAAAATGTGTTTGTGAAACACTGATGCCCCCGTATGGCAGCTTATGGCGAAGGTTAAAGTTTCTCAAATGCAATTAAGTCAAATTCCAAGGTCAAGAGATCAAAAATGTTGTTACCCAAAGGATATACCTGGTAAATATGAAAGCCCAAGAACCAATCATTCAAAAGTTATGGTTAAAGATAATGTTTTCTAAAAGTGGGTCAAGCGCCAAGGTTAAGTCAAAGGGTCAAAATTAAAGGTACGCAGGGGAAAACCTTGTAATAAGAAACACACATGCAAAATATAAAAGTCCTACCAACAACTGTTCAAAAGTTATGGCGAAGGTGTAAGTCTTTCAAAAGTAGGTCAAACTCCAAGGTCAAAAGGTCAAAATTGTTGGTATCCAAATAAAGGTCTTGTCACAAGAAATATACCTGTGAAATTTGAAAGCCCTAGTGCTAACCGTTCTGGCCAAGGTTAATTTTTTAAAAATGGGTCCTACTCCACAAACCATAACCTGTTCAAAATATAGGTTATATGCAACTACCAATTAAAGCCTGTCTGGTAGTGTCCATCCCTAGATGCATCATCAAAGTAAGTTCAAACTAATAGTTGCTAGGGATTATCCGGCAAATGTAGGTAAAATTTACTAATTTAGAATCAGAAGCAAGCATCGCTAGATGCATCATCTCCGTAAGTTGTCACCATAGGGTTTATAGTTATTTGGGAATGGACCTTCTCCAAAAAAAAACTTTTAATTAACTTTAGCACTCACCCGAAAAATGAAGGTCCGATCCAGAATCCGAAGAAGTGTGGTAGTGTGCATCCCGGGATGAGATGCATCATCCATAGAAGTTAAGTAACATGTAAATGAACCTACTCCCAAAACTTAATCTAGTAAATCTTTCATAAAAGTTTGGTCGGATACAGCATCCGAAACAAGCCTGGCAGTGTGCATCCATAAATCTATCGTCTGTGCAAGTTTGGTCACCAATGTTAGTTACAAGGGAATGGATTTACTCTAAAATCTTCAATCTTCTCACTCTTCTGTAAATTATTGATCAGATCCAGCAGCCAAAGCAAGTCTTGCACGGTGTATATCTAGATGCATCCATGCAAGTTTGGTCCAGGTAGAGCTATAGTTACCTGGCATGGACTTGTAAAACTTTAACCGGAATACCGACGCCAGGAATATAGTATAAAACATTTCTTGTTGACTGATTTATTTTCATGAAATTAAGTTCCCTCAGACTTCAAAAAAAAATTCTAATTATTCACAGACTTTTTAGCCGTGCTTGTAGATAATGAGCTGATTTCTGGCTTTTCTAGATTTTGATATTAATGACTTACAGATCAAGTTTGAGTTTCATGTTGATTGACCCATTTTCACAATTGTTATTGCCCATAGACTTAAATAAATTCTAATTATTCACTGGGTTTTTTTTCTGGACTTTTTCCTATGTGCTTGTAGATGATAAGTTGACAACTGATTCCAGAAAATAAAGAAGCAAAATGATAAAGCAACATGATGAAGCAATATGATATTCTATTTTTGTTTCCTTTCCACCCATTGTTATTTTACGTCGTTCAAATATTTCAAGCAGAATGCAGGCGAGGGGTATTTTTGTCACACTAAACACATCTATGTACATCTAGTTCTTAACACTAAAGGTCAATCGTAACTTGCAGATTTGCTCCTAAGCTACCATAGGATGCATTTAAAACTGAATGTACAGATAAAATTCAGAGACACATACATTGTATACATGTACGCCACATTTTCGCTATCGGGATTTGCCCTGCCCTTCAAAGTTAATAAAACATTATACCCGTACTCCCTTCGTCACCGTGAAGTGTGATGTATACGTTCGCCTGAGTCGCTCCCCCAAATTTCCGCCCTGTGGTAACTTTTATGTGGAAAATTGTCATTGTGCAGCTATATACCTCCTTGCTATCAAAACAAATTACTATTGGGGCAACACTTCTTTCTTCACCGAGCCAGTACATGTATACTTATCTCTGCATGCTATTTACGATATCTATCTTTATGTTTGGAAAAACATATCATGTGGGTTTAAATATTCTACAAGTATATTTGACAGATGTGTTTTTATTTGTTTTTCAATGAGAAGAGTCATCACTGGATCGTTGGCTGCTTTAAATCACCTTAATGAGAAGCGGAACATACCTTTAATTAATGACTAATATTATTTTAGTGTGTGTGTGTTACAACATGTGACTTTTGCATAGTACTCTTGCTTCAGGCACATAGCATTGCTTTTCAAAGCCAGAAAAAAAAATGACCAGAAAAAAATGATTATAAAAATAAGCAGAAGAATGAAAATACAAAAATTAAAAAAAAAAATGCCTGAAAACACTTTGTTACCCCCCCCCCCCCCCGCCAAAAAAATAAATAAAAAATGAAAATTAAAAAAAAAAACAAGCACATAAAACGGAAAACCTAAGTAGGTGGGAGTTGGTTGTAGGTGTTTCCGCTCTCTCTTTGACCAAAACAAAACAATGGCTACAATAACTTAGTAGTTTTCGACCATACTGCAACATAAAGTGGGATGAAGGTGAGGGCAACTAACTTTTGAATAAAAATTGCCATACCGAGCTGTTAACTGTTATAGAGCAGATCCCCATCTCCCACCTTACTGCGCTGATATGCGCTGACTTACATGTAACTATGTTAAGTATTGAATACTCACTGAACCCAGCTATGTATAGTTCTGAACACACACTAAACTTATGTCAAGTATTGAATAATCACTGAACCCAACTATATACAGTTCTGAACACTCACTGAATCTATGTGAAGTTTTGAATACTCATTGAACCCAACTATGTATAGTTCTGAACACTCACTGAACCTAACTATGTGAAGTATTGAATACCCACTGAACCCAACTATATACAGTTCTGAACACTCACTGAACCTAACTTTGTGAAGTATTGAATACTCACTGAACCCAACTATGTATAGTTCTGAACACTCACTGAACCTAACTATGTGAAGTATTGAATACTCACTGAACCCAACTATGTACAGTACTGAACATCCACTGAACCTAACTTTGTGAAGTATTGAATACTCACTGAACCCAACTATATACAGTTCTGAACACCCACTGAACCTAACTATGTGAAGTTTTGAATACTCACTGAACCCAACTATGTACAGTTCTGAACACTCACTGAACCTAACTACGTGAAGTATTGAATACTCACTGAACCCAACTATGTACAGTTCTGAACACTCACTGAACCTAACTTTGTGAAGTATTGAATACTCACTGAACCCAACTATGTACAGTACTGAACACCCACTGAACCTAACTATGTCAAGTATTGAACACTCACTGAACCAACTACCTGCAGTATTGAACACCCACTGAACCCATCTATGTACAGTACTGAACACCCACTGAATCCAACTATGTACATTATTGAATATTCACTAAACCAACTATGCACAGCATTGAACACTTACCGAACCTTACTATGTACAGTATTTAACACTCACTGGACCAACTATGTACAGTATTGAATATTCACTAAAGCAACTATGCACAACATTGAACACTCACTGAACCTTACTATGTACAGTATTTAACACTCACTGGACCAGCTATGTACAGTATTGACCGTTCAGTGAACCTTAATATGTACAGTACTGAATATTCAATGAATCAAACTTCAACCTTTTTGTGTTTCCTTAACGACAAGAGCAAATTTTTACAGTATTGAAGAATGATATGACAGTTGTTAATTGAAACTACATTATTCGAAACGTTACTCAATATATACCTTTTGGAATTATGACAAGTTAATGATTTACACAGTGTTGAACACTTACCTGAATTTTATCATCCCGTTTTTAGCTCACCTGAGACGAAGGCCTTAGTGAGCTATTCTGATCAAAATTTGTCCCTTGTCTGTCGTTGTTGTCGTCATCGTAAACTTTTTACAATTTCATCTTCTGCAAAACAACTGGTCCACTTTCAACCTAAGTTGGCAAAGAGTATTCTTGGGAAAAGGGGATTCAAATTTGTACGAATGAAGGGCCACGACCTTCTTGCAAGGGGAAATAATTCAGAAATAGTGAAAATTGGGTGGAGTCATTTAAAAATCTGCATCTCAAGAACCACTGGACCAGAAAAGATGAAACTTTTAGTAAAGCTTTATGACACAGTGTAGATTCAAGCTTATTCAAATAATGACCGACCCCGGGTGTAGGGTGGGACTACAATGGGCGATCAAACTTTTGCATATGATATATAGAAAAAAATATGCCAATGAAGAACAAGAAGGCCGTGGTTACTCAGGTAAGTGTTTTGGCCAATGGGCCTCTCATATACATATAGGGATGAGAGTTTCATGAGTTTTGGTTCAGTTAGGTGATTGAATACCAGTATTATCTGAGCGTAATGGCTCCGTTCAATCATTCTTATAGAAGATTATATTATTTTCTGTCATTACGTCCATTCTCAGACTTCGCATTTTCACAAATTTTTAGTTCACCTCAACGAAGTTGGGGAGCTTATGTTATATCCTCGGCGTCCCAGGGTAATGTTTTCGAAGCAGATTTCTAAGTATTTCATCAGAGTTGCATGGATGATGGATGTTTCATTGTACTGGTCAGGTTTCAGATGCTGCGTTTTAACCAATAGTTTCCATAAGAAGACCACGTTAATGTTTTAGAGCAGGTTTGTTTTTGGAGCACGTCTCACTCCCAAATACTTAAGCCCTACCTGGACCAAACTTGCATGTATGATGCATCCAGGGAAACACAACCAGACTTGCTCTGGATTCTGGTTCTTACTTACATTTTTCCGGATGAGTAACCAGGTCAAAGTTTTTAAAGTAGGTTCATTTCCAAGTAACTATATATAAGACTTTGGTAGGTAAACTTGCATGGATGATGCATCTAGGGATTCACGCTACCAGACTTGCTTCGGTTGCTGGATCTGACTTACATTTTCTGGATGAATAATCAAGTTAAAGTTTTGAATGAGGATTATTCCAATGTAAGTGAACATATCTAGTTATATCTGGACCAAACCTGCATGTATGAAGCATTTAGAAATGCATATTACCATATTTGCTTCGGATGCTGGATGTGACCTACATTTTCCGGATGAGTGACCATACATATTAAAGTTTTTGCAGCAGGCCCATTCCCATGTAGCTTTAAGTTTTGTGTTGACTAAACTTGCCTGAATGATGCACCTAGTGATGAACACTAGCAGCCTTGCTTTCAGTTTCTTTATTTCGCGTACATTTTCCTAGATTAACAGATTAAAGGTTTTGGAACAGTTCCTATTCCGAATGACTATAATCCATATGGTGATTAATTTGCATGGATGATGCATCTAGCTTTAGAAATGCACACAATCAGCTTAGGATGCTGGAACTGACCTACATTTTCGGGATGAGTGACCAGGTTTTAAGAGGAGGTTCATTCCCAATTAATATTTTCCCTACCTCGACAAACTTGCATGGCTGATTCATTTTGGGATTAATAATTCGGATGTGGATCAGACCTACATTTTCTGGATTAGTGACTAGGTTAAACTTTTTTGAAGAGGTCATACCCAAGTTACTATAAACCTTATGATGAATAAATTTGCTTGGATGACATATCTCAGGATGCACACTACCAGCCTTGATTTCAATGCTGAATCTGACATTTTTCGGATGGTTGAACTGAAAAAAAGTCTTTGGAGCAAATATGTTAACAAGAAACTAAGAATCTTTCACAGGCCAGACAGATAAATGTTGCTTCTAGAGATCCACGCCAGCAGAACATTCATTTAGTTTGTTTGTTTGTTTGTTCTTTAACGTCCCTCTCGAAAATTTTTCACTCATATGGAGACGCCAACACTTGCCGGTGGAGCTGCAAATTTTGACCTATGCTCGGCACTCAGGGCCACTGAGCAGTGAGGGATCTTTTTCGTGCCAGCACCTAATGCGACACGGGACCTCGGTTTATACGGTCTCATCCGAAGGACCCGTCTCCGCGTCCCACAGTGGGATTCAAACACGCGACGTAAGGATCAACTCCTTACTCCGCGACTCTAGAGCACACGCTCTACCACTGCGCCACGCGGGCGACTTCATTTAGTTTGAGATTTTGCTAAAAGGTAACCCGTGTTGAGGTGAGCTACATTTTATTTGATTGCCTATGTTTCTTTTTAACTGTAACTTTAGCACTTCCTTCTTTTGTTTGGCAATATGCGTATTTAACACTAAAAGTAATTGAGAGGTTCATCTTAATGAAAATAATTTTTTAGAAGGACATTTGATCAATTGTTTCCAATAATGGTTATGCACGGGGGCTAATTTTTGCTCCCTCAATGCGGAGTGCAAGTTATTTTTCTGAGAATTATGTAGAATTGCAAGATGCTCAAGTCAGCATACAACTATAGTTTAGGACAAAATTCAAAATACTGTAGATTCCTAAATGTAAGCGAGGAATTCATTGTCAACTCGCAACAAAGTTGGAGGGGATATAGTAACGCACTTGTGTAACTGTGTGGGTTAGTGAATTTTTGCGTAACGGAAGTAAAAATTTAAATGGGGTTGGATGTTACTTACTGGATTGGAAATAAAAGGAATATGCTCTCTTCTGAGAGGATGCTCTGCTTTGTATTGCCCTTGTTATCGCAATTTTTGCGAGAAACACCACTAGCGAAATAAAATTATTAGCTTTTAATCCTATTTTGCTGAAATACAGGTAAATACACTAAATCAGCAGGTGAACTTGTAAATTCATGTTCTCGTGGTTTGAGGTCTACTTGAGTCCTTTCGTGATATAAAGTACCGTACACAGTGAAAATTTCCCCAACTTTTATTTTCATCCCTTTCACACATGTCACAAGTGCGTGAATTTAAAGTAAACAGCATCATCTCTTTATCATAACTGTGCCTGGAATTTAAACGGGAAAAATTGTTCCCAAGTTTGAAAGAGCGACAATAACCCTGTATACAGCACTCGCGTAAAGTAGGAAATCTATAGTAATCATGTCAACATGTAACATAACCATTATAATATATATTCCTTTGAAAAGAGCAAATTGTGCCAAGATATGGGATATTTTTAAGATGCAACTTAGTCTTGTCAACATGCAATTTTAATGAAGTTGACGTCAATATCCTGCAACTTACTGACATGCAACCTATTTGTGTTGACTTGCAACTTATGTGCAACTTAAACAAAAGACATGAAAATGCATTTATTCATGTTAAAATGTTTTAATGAGACTAAATAATGTAGTATCATGATACATTGTATTTCAAGGAAGAAGAAACTTTTCTTTGAAAGGATCTCCATTTAGATCGGGCTCGGGAAAACGAAGCAGTCCTTCCAGATCCTGTAGGACTTTGACAATCATAGGACAAGGTAGAACCAAATGAAAAAGTTCTCAAGGAGTACGGGGTGCATGTAAACGATCCGACTTCAAAGGAATCAGTACTAGTAATAGCCCCTCTGTTTACTTTAAAGAATAGAGGTGAAAAGCTAGCATTGCTGGATAGATATGTAGAGTGTTGATCAACTGATGATGGTGTGGAAATGATGAATACAGACGAGCTATCTGATACCGTACTGGTAGAAAGACGCAGTGATGGTACCATAAGGCCTCTGCGCCGAGAGAACAAACTGGAGGTCGAAGAAGATTCAAAACTGTCAATGGATGCTCGCTGAGACTTTTCGGAAGTCATTGTATGTTGTTGTAATTTTGTGCTGCTAATTCCTAAGAGTTCGCTAGATTTAGGGTTGCCGTTTTCTTGTAGCGAATTCATGATAGTACTCACCCCAGACTCTATCATCTCTGGTATCAAAATAACCCCATGTCGCACCTGTCCATGAAGATTGATCTGGTTAGATTTACCGAATATTCTTTTAAAGAAGAAGCAAATGCGTTTCCTCTTATCACTTTGGAGAATACCTTCCTCGAATGGAAATAGGACAAATGTAGCGAGCATGAGATGCAGCTCCACTCTGTATAAATGAGATATGTTATCTCTTGAAATCAAAGATATAATCTTTAAGGCACATATTGGACCCCAGCTGACCATTATTCCCACGACTATTCCTAGAACTGAGCGCTGTATGTTGCTGGTGGTTTTATTTCCATTGCTGACCCTAGTGTGTGGGAGTCTTCCAGTGAATGATGGCAAAACAGATAACGAGGTTGCCTGAGAAGGCATCACAATACTGTGCATTTGTACTCTAGAGGCAGACTGATTCACATGAACGATAATTTTGAAATAAATGCACATACAAATAAACAGTGGTAAAATATAGCAGAGAAAAATGTTACCCCACTTGTAAAACGATACACTGGAATGTATCAAGTGTATGTATTCGTAGCAAGAGTCCAAAGAAATAAACAAGTTCTTTTCTGTTTCATTCTTTAAGACATTGTCTAAGATGTTGTCCTTAGACATAAATAGTTCAGGTGTTTGCAGCAATACCCAGAGAAAAATTGAACCAAGAACTTCTAAGCTGTATACGGCGACGACAAAGCGTTTGCTTACTAACTTTGAAGCATCCCCTTTGCAGAGACACACGCGTAGTCTGACAATGGCCAAAACCGTGACTGTGGCTGGAATAGTTCCGAGTAACATCTCATTGGTTACCTCTGTAATGGAATGAAACCAGTATTAAGATTACAGTAAGGTTACAATAACCATGAAGTTACAAATACAGTAACAAACAGTATATACTATAGAACAACATTAACATCATTACCTTTAATGTGGCATTGAGAAGCGTGCACCTCCTGGTGAGTGGAACATCCAAGCAGTTCTTTGTTGTTTAAAAGGCAACAAATGACAAAAATAAAAAGATGCACCAATTTGATGGTCTGGGTCAATTCCACCACACTCATGGACCCTTTCCCGGACAACAGGCTGATTAGATAAAAGCATGCCATAATTATTCCCACGGTTACCAAACCGATAGCCACTGCAGCACAGTACATTTTTAAATGTATTTTGTTCAACAGTCCTCAGACAACAGTTACTTTGTAACTAAAGCTTATTTCAGAAGATGACTTTTATAACTAACATTTTCAGCTTCTTAAGGAATCGACCAATCATTTTTAAGATATTCTGTGTTGTTAATTGTGAATGAAATCTGTTGACTGTTAGCCCAGTAAACAATTCATGATACGCTAAGAGATATTACGTACATTTTTAGCTATTTAATAATCCAATTGATACATTTTATTCTGATTGACACGAAATCTGTTGACAAGAAGCATTGTGAAAATATAAACATATTTTCTAACATCAATCTAAAAAAAACATAATTCCTGCATTGCAAATATTATACATAAGTAGCTAATGTATTTATATTGCCTGTTTTATTTTGAAATAAATAGGATAATTAGAGTTTGGGGTGGAAGTGAGAGCATTTTAAATGTAACGATAGGTATCATAGATATACATATAACAGATGTTTAATAAAAAAAATGAGGGGATAGAGCAATTGTGTGAAACGATGGGATAGAGCAAATATATGAAACGATGTGATAGAACAAAAGTGTGAAATGATGGGATAGAACAAAAATGTGAAACGATGGGATAGAACAAAAATGTGAAGCGATGGGATAGAGCAAAAGTGTGAGACTATGGAATAGAACAAAAGTGTTAAACGATGGGATAGAACAAAAATGTGAAGTGATGGGATAGAACAAAAATGTGAAGTGATGGGATAGAGCAAAAGTGTGAAGCGATGGGATAGAACAAAAATGTGAAGCGATGGAATAGAACAAAAATGTGAAGCGATGGGATAGAACAAAAATGTGAAGCGATGAGATAGAACAAAAATGTGAAGCGATGGGATAGAGCAAAAGTGTGAAACGATGGGATAGAGCAGAAGTGTGAAACGATGGGATAGAACAAAAGTGTTAAACGATGGGATAGAACAAAATTGTGAAACGATGGGATAGAACAAAAGTGTGAAACGATGGGATAGAGCAAAAGTGTTAAACGATGGGATAGAACAAAAGTGTTAAACGTTGGGATAGAGCAAAAGTGTGAAACGATGGGATAGAACAAAAGTGTGAAACGATGGGATAAAACAAAAGCGTGGAACGATGTGATAGAACAAAAGTGTGAAACGATGGGATAGAACAAAAGTGTGAAACGATGTGATAGAACAAAAGTGTGAAACGATGGGATAGAACAAAAGTGTTAAACGATGGGATAGAACAAAAGTATTAAACGATGGGATAGAACAAAAGTGTGAAACGATGGGATAGAACAAAAGTGTTAAACGATGGGATAGAACAAAAGTGTTAAACGATGGGATAAAACAAAAGCGTGGAACGATGTGATAGAACAAAAGCGTGAAACGATGGGATAGAACAAAAGTGTGAAACGATGTGATAGAACAAAAGTGTGAAACGATGTGATAGAACAAAAGTGTGAAACGATGGGATAGAACAAAAATGTGAAACGATGGGATAGAGCAAAAATGTCAATCACACGCTACTGTGCATGCTTTACCTGCTTCTCAGTAAATCATGTGCCAGGTTTGTGCCCTGCCATCTACTGGTACTGAGTAGTCGATGAAGGATAAAATAAGGGTATAAACACTGGTTTAGTACGATGGAAAGAACAAAAGTGTGAATGAAATGTGAAGATAACGAGCAGTATTCAATCTCGAAAGTCCAATGACACTATACAAATTTGGAGCAGAGCAAACACGGACCTCAAAATTTAGAGGTGGGATCAGGTGCCATGGAGAATTGAGCATCCCTTGCCGACCGGTCATATCCGCCGTGTGCTCCTTGTCATGAATATTCTCTACATATTTAAACTCCTAGCTTGAAAAGCAGAGGGTGTATAGTGGTGGGGTCGTCCGCTCTTCCTTACGTCTTTCTATACGTCCGTCCGTATGTCCGTAACAGATGGGGGTGACCAGTCTCTTATCCGCAACTCCTTCTAAACTCCTTCTGAACCACTGAATAAAATTTAATCAGATCAGTCTTTCACGGAACCTTATTGCGTATTTTCATTGTGCACGACCCATTTTATTTTTCAATCGGGCAGACCTTACACACAGCGTTTTCTTTACATCAAAGACTGCCTCTACATGTATGATCGTAGCTGTTTTGAGGTTTGCCTAGGAAAATTTGTTAAAAGGAAAATAGTAATTTCTAAATCCGATATAGACAAAGTGGCGTTGCATCCAATACTAGTAAAAAAAATCTGTTTTAAAATTCGAATGTTTAGTACAATGTTTCGAATGTTTAATAGTACAATGTAACAAAAAGAGGCAATCGTCTTCTACTTCATCTTTAGAGCAAAAATTACTTAATCTATCTTCTCATACTTCTCCTTAATATCTCCCAGTTTCAACTCTAATTAGTAAAAATCCACATCTAAATTAAGCAAGAAGAAATCTTTGAAATTTTGGAATATTTATTAAAAGATAGTTTTCAGTGTTAAAATGTGTTTTAAAATCGTTTTTTATAATTCATAGATTTTATTTGTGCTTTCACATATATATAGAGAGAGATAGAGAGAGAGAAAGAGAGACTGTACGTAGATTAATTAACAATCAGTACATACTTTCATCTCTACTTTTTTTAATGTGTTTTAAAATCTTTATACAAACGTAAATTAGGTAGTAGTTTTTTCTTTAGTCATTCACTCTCATAATCTAAAAGGATTTTTTGTTCAAATTCAACAATATCTGTGTTGATTTTGAACACTGTCAATGGATATTTTAGGGGGGTATACTATCAACACCCTTATCAAAGTCAGGTAAATTCCTGAAGCATGCGTTAAAATCGTCACATATACAAATATTGCATCAGTATCATATTGCATGTAGGTGTGAGAAAAAGGATGACGCATCACGACCCCAAGGAGAGCTCTCAGGTGGGAAATAGCAAGAAAATACAACAAATGTGAAGTCTGTTAGTTTGTTTGTGAACTCCTAAAATTCCATCCACTGAATTGTCTAGTATGTCTGCTTTATATTCCATATTTAAACGCTCTTTGATCAATAACCCCATCAGACCCTTTTGGTCCTTTCACGTGTACGTTAGATCGACTAAGCCATTTCCATTTATACCCGGCTATGTCCAAGTTATCTTTGTTCTTTGTTTGATAGATGTGTTTCGTTGTTAGATACAATATCACAATCTATATACATGTATTTTACAATTTCTGATCTGAGTTCATGATTTTTTTTATTTAAGTCCAACGATGCCCTATACGTATTGTTTCGGCGAGTCGGGGGGATTCCTAAACCGAACTTTCATCTCTCATGCATGATTTGCTGATCATGCACGTGTGTTTCTGATAATGTGACCATTTGCTGTTATTCTATATAGTCTTTACCATTTAGAATTTCATTGAGGATAGTTCTTGCATTTAATTCAATCAGTCTTTCTGTGTGGGATTTACTTGAAAATTGAGAAAATTGAGCTGCGGCATTCCCCAAGTCTACGTTTTGTCCCAAGCACTCGAATTTTCTCATCAACCGCAGCAAAACTGATTTTCACCAAACTCTTTTCTACTGTTTAACCAAGAGACTGCAACAACATGGGTACTATTATCAGGATGAGCGACTATTTCTTGGGCGACTGCAAGTAGATCTGCGTTGGGTTCAATCTTAATATTTGTTGCTATAAATGTAACATTTGAGTCCTCGAGAGGGTTACGGGTATTTACAAAACCACACACATAATCGTACGTCGAATGTTCCCTCCTATTCCTAATCCCAACCAGTTCTAGTCGTCCACAATGGAATCAATGGTCTGTGAAAGTGCGTCAATTTGTGTTTTATGGAAAACTTAAGATCAATATACAATGTAACTCTTCATGCATGGCTTTGGATTTCTCATCAATACTTCCTTTTTAAAGTTACATAGTGAGTCAGTATCGTGTGTTTCTTTTAAAATAATTGCATCATAAAGCTAAAGATTTATGAGAAATATGAATAAGGCGAAGTTTTGAGATTTCAACTGCACGGTAAAAGCAAGAAAAGACTGCAAAATGTAAGTGCCGAAAAAAGAGAAGTTGTATCTATGACGTGGTTGCTATATGTCAACAATGTCAAGGTCATGTATCTTTTATTTTCAGCGTGAAACTTGTAAACAACATTGAATTGGAGCAATCAAAAGTGAGGAATAAGATCTGTTCATCTTTTTGAAGATTATATCAAAATAAACGGTCATTCGACATTTATATCTATGGAACTGACACCATGGTAACTTCTTCAACTTTTCTGCGCATGCGTACCTTAAAGAGGAAGAAGTGAAGCAATATTTTCGTGTTGGGGCAAACTAAAATTATTTTTACTGATATTTTTCTCCATAAAAGTAGATTTTTTTAGGTTCTGAAACCTGTAATTTTCTGAAACCTAATACTTTCAAGAATTGAATAAAATTTGCATGTGTCTTGCGAAAATTCTACTTTGTCAATTTTCCCGTTTTTCCGTCACGGTGTCTCTTTAAACAAGAGGAACATGGGCCACATCGCTCACCTGAGCATATAGGAGTTCAGTATTTTAAAAGTGGTATCAACCTACTTCTAAGGGGAGGGGGGATTATTTGAACAAACTTGAATCTACACTAACTCAGGATGCTTCCATATTTCTTTGACAAACCATGGCTTAAGAAGATTTTTAAATTTTTTTTCCTACAAGTTTTATCTTCTATTGTGTCAACACCCTACCCCAGGGGACATAATCTGCTGTTCTTGAGATTTACAAAGATCATTTTCCAATATATATCTGGCCCTACCCTACTCCTGGGGCCATGATTTGAAGAAACTTGAATCTACACTACCTAAGGATGCTTCCATATAAATATGACCAATCATGGCTTTACTGTTTTTGAGAAGATTTTTAAATATTTTTCCTATGTACATGTATATCTATGTGAACCTTTGATCATCCATTGTAACCCCACCTACTCCTGGGGGTCATGATTTGAACAAATCTTA